AATCCTATGAACTAGAGCCCTCCAGGCTTCTCTGTCCATGGAATTCTCCAGGCAAGAATACTGGAGTGGATTGTCATTCCTTTCACCAGGGAATCTTCTTTACCAAGGGATCGAACCTGGGTCTCCTGCATTGCAGGGGGATTCTTTACCACCTGAACCACAAAGGCAGCCCTTTTATGACTTAGGTTATATAGAATTTTCAAATAAAAAATCTCTGATTTTAAGAATAATTTTATGTTCTACCACATTTTTAAATACCTAGGACCGTAAAGTTAATATGTCTTTAAGGGGTGTTATAACTCCCCAGAAGTTTAGAATCATTACAGTAACTCAGAATTCTGGACCACTTATGGATTCTCTTGGGATCTGGCTCTGTTGTATTATAAAAATAATTACTAATATTGAGCACTCATTAAGTACTAGGTCTTGTTCTTGTTAACTCATTTCCCTCAAAACCATATAAAGTAGGTACATTTCTTACCTGGCAAGTGAAACAGTCAGAATTCAACTAAGTTTAAATAAATTTCCCTCATTCCTTGGCCTTTCATAGTTACCATGCTTGAATTGGGTTTTTTAAAAAAGAGCACAGCTAGAGGGTGGGGGACTTCATGGCCAAGCTGCCCAAGCATTTATAAAAATGCATATTCCTGTGTCTTTTTCTCAGAGAGTCTGATTAATTAGGCAGAGGGTAGAGCCCCAAATCTTTCAAAAACCAAAACAAGGAACTCCCAGTATTTTCAGTACACACTTGATTGACATTATGCACAGTATCTGAAACAGTCCTCCCTGCCACCAGTTATTCCATGGCAGCGCTCATATAAATAATCACTTACATGATTTGAAGTCAATAACCGTGCCAACATTTCTTACCTATTTTTAAGAGCTCAATGACTCTGTGCTGTGTGGTTTAACTTCACAGATACTGGCACACTTTCATCACTGGCAAAATCTTCAGGTCTATATCACTTTGAATATTTCATCTAGGTCATTTATTCTTTTAAAAGGAGATATTGTCATCATTAGTCAAGTTTAAGGGTAGACATGTATAGACTCCTGCAAAAAAGAAAAATCCCACCAAAATCATTTATCTGAATTTAGTATTGTGATATATTCTATGTACCACCCAACAGTAAAGTTAGGAAACCAGAATCCGTGAGTGCACACAGATAGAAGAGCCCAGAATGTCCCCTTGATGAGACTTCTGTCACTACTACGAGGAAGCTCTGAGCTCCTCATGTTGTCAATAATTCACAGGTGCTGGGAGACAGCAACCCTGCCTCCATAAGCAGGCGGGACTTTAGTCAAAATTACTGTCAGCATCAGTTCCTGAGCACAGACCACTTGAGAGTTGAACAGCTGGCCCCCAGCATATGCTAAGAGTCAAGGCAAAGATTAATCATTTCTGGGTAGAGCTATACAAAACACAGAAACCCTTCCTGTGACCTGCAGGGTTGTAAGAACTATCCCTTTTACAGCAGAAATGTTTAAGACTTAGTCATAGGTAGCGATAAATTTTGAGAAATTCAGTTTAAAAAATCATTTCTGGAGGAAAGGGGAGTGTGTTGACATAGTCCTGCATATTGACCAAGTGATTTGGCAAAGGCCAGATGCAGAGAACAAGCATGTCCTGACTCTGTAATGTGTGGTTTAATTCCAGCCACACTGCCTCCCAAACATATCTTTCCTGTTAGTGATTCACAGTTACAGGGACCGAGGAGGCAGGATCAAAAGTCTAAAACTCTACAATTAACTTTAAATGTATTAGAATTCAAGGTGAGAATTAGAAATAAAAATTTCTATTATGTAGGTATAGTTATAAACACATATATAATTATCAATAATTACTTAGTTTGTAGCAATCACAATGGATATCTGACTCATATAGGTATGTATTTAACAGTCTAAGTTCTGAATATGCCTGTAGTGTGGCAACAGTTCTTGTTTGGATATCACCCCGGGGAATGGCAGTTGCATGGATTTTGCCTTGTTCAGCCACAAACAGGTCTTGGGCTTGGCATTCAGGGCCAGGCTTGGCAGGACCTCATCTACAGTCTGTGATCTGCCACTCTGTACGCTAAGCAGTGGTCAGAGAAGGTGGTTTGGGGAGATTCCATCACACTTCATTTGGAAAACAGAGTTGTCTCTGTTGAAGTTCAAGCTAATAGTCTGGATTTACATGTGTTTCTACAATTTTCCTACACAGCTTTTGAATTGCAAAACAAAAATCTGATTTAAAAATCAAGTAAGTAAAACCTACCTGGCTCAGAGGCTCAAACATGTTTCATTTATGTGATAAGCTAATCACTTGGGTTGCTAACTTTCAGAGGCATTTATAAACAGGAACGTATTATTATTAGGACTCTCCTGCACTATTCACATTAATGGGCTATTGGAAAAAAATGACTTGAGTGAGAAAAAAAAATCCCTGCAGACCCAGGAGGGCCCAGTAAAATCTTTGATTTTGTGCCTCATTCACTTCTGGCACAGCAACAGAGATGCCGTCCAGAAAGGGCAGGGTTTGAGTGGAGATGGGGCACCCAGGAAGCCTGGAGTGCCGCATACTATGTGCCAAGGGAGGTAAGCAGGCCTAGGATACTAGATCCGCATCCCTACAGCGTGGCGGTGGGGGGAGAGGGAAGGCCCCGCATCACTAGCTGCCGCCAGCAGGCATGTCAGCACAGAATACCATCTCACGTGCTCCTCAGCAATAGCTGAGCTGTGACTGCCTCCCACCTTGGACTCTGTTCATTTACATTCCTTGTTCAGCTGTCTGTCCTTGAAAATTAAAAGCCAAGCGACTTTTTTTTTTTTTTGAGGCTGCTGCTGCGGCAGTTCCTAATAACTCTTAATAATGAACTGCAAGAGACAAAGATTTGTCTCACTTGGCTTTTGCTCGCCCGCCTCCATGGTGATCCTGATCAGGCTGCAGTGTGTGATCTCAAGTGTAACATGTAGCACCGGTCCCGCAGGACAGGGTCGCCAGCTGCCTGCACCTCCTTCTTAGTTCTCACCAGTACAGGAAGGGGCACTCTGCAGAAACCTGTCCCAGGTTTTCTGAGTGGAAGGAACGGGGCAGCCTGAAAGGGACTGAGGAGAGGAAAATGTGAGCCTTCCTAGGAGAGGAAGTGAAGTGTAGGCTGAAAATGGGCTCTGAAATCAAACAGATTTGGTTTCAGAATCCTTGCTCTATTGACAGACACCCTGTCCCATAGGCAGACTATCACAACATCACTGTTTCCCAGATTGTAAAAATGGAAGAATAACATCTACTCCACACAAGGTTAGATTGAGGGTTCAGTGAAAATATCCATGTAACTATGGCTGATTCACATTGTTATATGGCAGAAACCAGCACAACATTGTAAAGCAATTATCCTCCAGTTAAAAACTAAAAACATATCTATGTAATATGGGTAGTACAGAGTAAGAAGTTTGCCTCTTTATAAAACATAGGTCAGACCCTATCTGTGGGTCCATCCCACAGACCATCAAGGTTAACCAGTTCCCTTTCAGAAAGAAAGTGACACTGCAGATTCAGTAACCTCTGAGAAGCCTAAATAACCTCTGTCCCGTGGTAAAGCACAAGAATCTACAGGCTTATGTAAGCAAACATGCTTTATGTATCATCCCCATTGGAGCTTGGGCTTCGCAGGTGGCACTAGTGGTAAAGGACCCACCTTCCATTGCAGGAGATGTAAGAGACGTGGGTTTGATCCCTGGTTTGGGAAGATCTGCTGGAGGATGGCCTGGCAGCCCACTCCAGTATTCTTGTCTGGAGAATCCCATGGTCAGAGGAGCCCGGCGGGCTACAGTCCATAGGGTCACAAAGAATGGGACATGACTGAGTGACTTAGCACACACGCTGTTGGAGGCGGCAACAGAGTGGAGAAAGCCATCCAGATATCACACATCTCTCTACACATATGCTTAGACCATGATACCTTGGAGTAGTAGCATACCTGCCACTGCTGGCTTTGCAAATGTGAGTGCAATCTGACAGTTATTAATATTTATTCTAAACTGACTATGCAACATATCTTGCAGAGGTAGCTGAAAGGGCTTTGATATCAGTAACTCAGTGATCATATAAAAAGGGAGTTGAATATCTTACAGGTCCTGTTACATTATTAATAAATGGAGCTATTTGAGATCCGTCCTCACCTCACCTTTTAATAAACAGACCTGGGCAGCTCCATTCATGTTGTCTTCCCAAAACAACAAAAATAGCTACCCTTGCTTTGTACCAGAAACATAAGCATTTTACATTTAATAGCTCAATTTAACAAAAGCACTCTGAAGTGAGCATTACTATCCTCATTTCACAGAAGGCAATTGAATCTCTAAAAATTAAGTAACTGCCTGGGGTCACATACTCACTGGCAAAGGAAGAATTTGAAACCCTCTGGCTTAAATGAGCACTAAACCCTTGTGCTCTGTTCACCAAGTCTAAGTCAGTTTTGTCCTACTCCTTGTAGAGAAAGGAAATGCCTAGCCTCAGAGAAAAGATGCACTCAGGATTGTTGGTGAACAGAGCTTTGAGGCCGCCCATTAGGACGCCAGGCATAAGGAAAGGTGAAATAATACAGTGAATAAGCATCTGCCTGAAGGCAGAAGGCCCAGGTCAGGCCTCAATGTGGCTTCTCCCTTGCTGTGTGATTTCGTACCCACTTACTTATCCTCTCTGAGCCCAGTATCCGCACCTCTAAAGTTGACTACCCTCATAGAATTGTTCCCATCAACAAAGAACTGTGGTATCTGTGGGAAAAAAGAGCTTGACCAAAGTCACCTAAAACTCACCCACCACCAAGCCCTCGAGTCCTGTCACGTAGGGATCCTCTTGTTCTGACTACACAGACGGGACTTGAGAGGACAAAGCTCTGTCCAGGTCTCGGGGTTTCCACTGAAGGCTTGATTCCTGAGTACCCTGCTGAAGCTTCCAGCACTCCACAGACCTCTGTAAGTGGCTGATTGTTCATTGTCTTTTTCTTCTCCCTCCTCAGACACGTTTGCAAGCAAAGTGGCAGCCACCCAGGACCAGTATGCGGATGCATCCATAGGTAACGTCACAGGCAGCAACGCGGTGAACGTCTTCCTGGGCATCGGTGTGGCCTGGTCCATCGCTGCCATCTACCACGCGGCCAACGGGGAACAGTTCAAAGTGTCCCCTGGCACGCTAGCTTTTTCTGTCACTCTCTTCACCATTTTTGCTTTCATCAACGTGGGGGTGCTGCTGTATCGGCGGAGGCCGGAAATTGGAGGTGAGCTGGGTGGGCCCCGGACTGCCAAGCTCCTCACATCCTGCCTCTTTGTGCTCCTGTGGCTCTTGTACATTTTCTTCTCCTCCCTGGAGGCCTACTGCCACATAAAAGGCTTCTAAAGGAACAATCAGATGTAGTAAATTTATATATATATACATATATATATACATAAAATTATGTATAATGAACAGAGGAAACTGGCATTTGTCATATCCACCCACCTGCTGATGGAATCCAGCTTCAAGAGCAGACTCTGTACTAGGGCCGGAGTGAGAAGGCATCACCTCCCGTTCCCAGGGGCATCGTCTTGTTGAACCAGGCATGGAGGCAGGGTCATCTTTGCAGCTCAGCCCAGAAGGGCTGTGTTCTCCCCGGGTTCATAAATCCTTAAGTCTTTGATTTGTTTTCTGTTTTTGCTTGTTTTGGGTTGGGGTTGGGAGGTGGTTGATGTTAGGGTTTGGTTTTGTTTTTGCAGGGGGAGGATCAGGGTTTGTGCTTCTCTTGTGGGAGGTGATGTCCAATCTCAAAGGTAAAAGTGGAAATCAGGAAGATGACTCTCCCTTTGCCCAAAAACTTTAAAAATTATTTTGGAGTAAGAAAGGAAACGGGCACTGAAGAAGAAAGAAGCATGTCTGCATTAGATTACTAAATTTCATGCTTATCTCTGGAGCGGGAGCAGAGGTGAAACCCCCTCCAAGAAGAAACTTGGGAGCTGGAATGGAGCCAAGAAGAGTTGTGGTTCTAGATACAGTCTGATATTTAAAGATGCTAGGCTTGGCACCCTTGTTCAACAGGTACAAAAACAACATGCCTAGATTCCCAGGAACATACAAAGTCCTTTCTTATCTCTTTAGCGCTGGACTACGATTAGCAAGGCCCTGACTCTGATGTTCCACACCCACTGATTCCCCATCCCTCCCATCCCAAACCCCTTCTCCTCCCCTTTACCCCTCATATAAACAGGAAGAATAACTCCATTCAAAACGCACATCATCCTTTTCCATTTGCATCAGTCTGTGTCCCATGTTGCTATTGCCTGGGATTGTCCATCAGTTCTGTTTTCCAGGGCATCAATGACCTGCACACTCCTGTTCCAGTCATGACGGAACATTTGCTCCTCTTTCATGTGCCTGTTTGGGAATGTTGTTGTGATACCTGTTACACAGTGCATGGATGAAAAACAAATACAACAAAACAAAGTGTATCTGTATATAGTAGAGTATAGCATATACTGTTCTCCCATCTGGCAACATTGATTGGACATTGAAGACATAAGTGAGTTTTCTTTTCACCTGAGTTGTAACTTTTGTGTTATTGAGTTTGGTTAGGGATAAAAGGAGAAAATGGCTTATTGTTCATGGATCTGCACGTTCATTTCTAAGAAACAATAACTGTTACGTGGGAGTTAAAGCTATTGAGAGGACAGCGGGCACGCGACAAAGTATCTTCAAGGAAAATTAGCCATGTGGTGCACATCAAAGCCTTGAAAACTCACCTGTTGGTTCAGGAAGGCCAAGGAGAAGGGCTGTGTGGAGAAGGGGATACGTTAGATGTGCCTGGGCTCTGAAAGCCTCTGTTCCTGGAACACCCCTGCCCCCAAAGTATTTATTTCACATCTGCTCTGTCTGGCACAGATGGTAGATAGTGCTGGTTTGTTCATTTTATTTTTTTATGTAAAAGGCTATTCAGAGCCCCATTTTTTTCACCGTCCAGACCCCTCTGATATGAGGAGAAAAGAAGCCACAGTGATCAACAGGCCTGTCAAAGTGTGTCTTCTCTACATAGGGCTAAGGAGGACGTGATTAAATGAGATGGTTAGTGCCTCTCTGGGAGGTTTTTAACCCTGGAAATGGAATGGCTCTATTTCACAATATCAAAGAGTATGATAAACCCAATGTTCCAAAGCCGTGAGTCCACAAATGAGAAAAAAATGGAATGACTTATGTCCCCTCTCAGACATTTCTCTATCCATAAAGAATCCCAGGCCAGAGACAGCCTTAAGCCCTCTGTGTTGATTCAGAGATACTTAACTGATAATAATTTTCATTTCTTATTTTCTCTTCGTCCACTTAGTAATCACAATCATTCATTATTTAATAAACACTGGGTGAATGAATAAGTAAATGCTGAGTACCCACTCAATCTGCCCAGTACTATGCTAGCACTTGGGGACTAAACATGGACCAGACAGCCCGGATCCCTATCCTGAGAGGGTTCACGGTTAATCCCTGAGTAATAGTTAACAGCCACATGGAAACAATTAGATCTTACAAGAAAAACACAAGCGCTGAAATTCTCTTGTCTAGATGTCTAAGATTTTCTTGAACTGAGAGAGTGTAAGGCGCAGGGTAGGCACAGCAGTCTATGTATCCTGAGCCAATCTTGCAGATCTGTACATCTTTCCATTTTAAACCAAGTAAGGCAATCCTGCTGATGACCCAACTGGCTGAGAAATCCCAGTTAATCCCAGTTTTTATCTTCAGCTGATCTTTGTTGGACAGCAGTACTTTTCCATGCCCCCTGCAGCTATAATTTCTCATATCTCCTGGAGCCTCAGCCCTGACCTGTCATGGCCCAACGCACTGGTGGCATAGTCCTAACCCATTTTTTTCTGAAGATTTATTTAATGAAAAACTAGCCTAGAAACACCAAGTAAATAGTCAAGGGATATGAGTTGTTTAAACATCAGAAAGACTTTGCACTCCTTTCTAGCTATATTTGGAATGTTAATAATCCCATAGCAAATTTTCACAGAGGATGGTAAGAAATCTTGACTGTTGGTCAATTTCAATTTCAAAGCTTTTTGGTTTGTTTGCTTTTTAAATTTTCATGTTATAGGGGAAATATGATTCTGGTTGTTTTAGTAATTATAGTCATGTAAAATTATTTCATTTTGTTTGATTATTTTATTTTGTGTGTATTGTGCACAGCTTAGGGGGGGAGGTGCACTAATTGTGCTGTTCCTTATAGATGGTACACATTATTGACACAGACAAATAAAGTTTCTAATGGTTTCTGATTTAATCACTAGTGATCCAGCATATTCTGTATGGAATGTTTTCTCTCTCCTCATTGTCATCTATTTCATCTTTTGTTTTCATGTTTTGAAGAAATAAAGACCCAAAAGGTATTACTGTGCCATTGGTATCTCATCCAAAAGAAAGAAAATAGATGCCCAGTAATCACCTGACAAATGTCAACCCTTGGTCATGCATTGTCTGCTTTTAATGCCCCAAGGGAACACAGTGTCTGACTGCTGAGATAAATGATACCTTATTCATCTAATTGTCTTTAAACTTTTCTTTAGAATTCCTTGTTATATTCATATATGGTCATGCATGAAACACTTTCCTATGTGAAGGTAATTTTCTTGGATCAACAATTAGTATGTATCCTGGGACCCAATCTTTGGCTTAACACAAAATAAGCAGCCAACATTTACTACTCTAACAGTAAAAGAGAAAATTCAATGACCAGACTAGCCTTGACTGTTGAGCAACTATTTAGCAAAATGCTGTGGCCCAATGATTCTAACCTCTTATAAGCTAATTCTGTTCTTTCAAAGGTTCAAGTTCAAGCCTTCTACCAGTGGAGAGTTCATAGAACTTTGCTTTTACCGTTCCTGGCATAAGCACACTAAGTTTTTCCTTATAATTCTTTCTTGAAAAGCGTACTGTCTGTCTCAATTCTGAAGCTATTCTGATAGGTGACTGTTATCCTATTAGATTTCCTAATATATACCTTCCCTCCAGTGGTCTCACTGTTCATAAAAAGATCACCATACACATAGTTTTATCCACAGGGGCTTGATTCATTGTTGATGCCACAGCCCTGCTCCTAACCTGTCAAAGTGAGATTCACCACTTTGTGCTGCATACATCTGAGAATGTTGTGGAAGCAATCAGAAAAATAACAAATATCCTCTAATAGATGATGAAGTCCTGCATTCTCTAATGGTGACAAAACTTCACTTTCTCAGTAATGTAAATCAGCTCCTTTAAGATTTCCTTCAGTGTTTCCTGACTCAAGAAATGAAATCTCTCGTGATTATGGTTTTCTCTGATAGTGGGCAGTTATATCCAGAGCAAGTCTTGGGTATAATTTCACAACTTCAAGAATATTTGGTCATTTCATAATCAACCATGTACAACACTGGATCTTACCGTAATCTCCAAATGACACTTGGTTTTTGTTGTAGTCATCATTTCACTTGGCCAAGAGTAGTAAAATTGAGCAGTTCAACTGATAAACAAGGGTATTACATAGACAAGACCTACAGAATCATATTTATCTTACAAAGAAAGAAAGGTGCTGTTATGAGTGGATTCATTAGCTTTCTTTCAGTTCTACTTACAGTTTTAGTAGTGGATTGCATTTCGGTTCTTCTTTTCAACCATTATGTTCCTATCACTTCTAATCATATTCATTGTCTTCCATCAATGTGTGTCAGTGTCAGTTGGTCCTGCTGGTATTGCACCTGCAAAGACAGCATAGTAAAGGGAAACAATTGTAAGAGATATTTTTTAGAGCTTAATCAGGCCACAGTTAATCATCTCCCCAAAGAGAGAATATCTTACTTATAGAAGGAGCAACCACTAAATGGTGGGACTCCCAAAGGAGAGAGTGCTTCAGCTTTCCAACCAACAAGAAACGGGTGAGTATGAAGCTGTATGTGAGTTTTTTCTACCTGTCAGGGTATCTGAAAACATGCATTCAGAGGCTCTTCCAATTTCAGTTTTGTCAAAGGTCAGATGATTGAATCTCCTATGGAACTTTTAAATCAGTGATCATAGTATAAATTATTTTAATTGGTTGACTTGTAGAACAGAACATTATAACTTTAAAAAAGCAACATAACTTTGTAGTTAGAATTATGACCTATGTCTTTACAGGAAGAATTGCTTGCCCAGAATTGCCTGGTAATCAATGCAGTGTTTTATAGATGCTTGACCTGCTCACATTCTTTAGAATCATGCATCCCTAACCTTTTCCAAAGATCCAGAGAGGTGTCCCCTTGGGAATATGCAGCCTTAACCTTTCTTTTCCTAATTCCCAACCTTTGTAGCTCTTCCCTGGCTACTCCCATTATATTCATTTCCCTTAGTAGTGTTCACTATTA